ATTTGCAATCTCCTGGAATAGAACTCGAGTCGAATTTGACACTAGGTACGATGAACGGAGGTCTCCGAGCACATTTAAACAGTTCTCGGATGAGATAACCTCAGGTCCTGGAGCGTCGAAGGATTGATTTTCTATATGACCAAAGCGTTCTGCTAAGACGACACCGCAATCATCCCAATTTGTCAGAGACTCCAGTTGCGTTGTCTCAAAGTCCATTCTTTCAGACTCGTAGAAAGCGACGACATTGGCGGAGGCTCCACCTCCATCGTTCAGCAACAACGACATGTTATCCGGAAGATTTACGGGAAGATTTGGGAAGGCAGGTCGACCACTGGCATCCGAGTCGTCGGCAACATCACTGACACTGGCTATCCCAACCGTGTTCGACTCGAAGTCGCTCACTTGAGACTCGATGTCGTCAGGCTCCAGCTTGTCGTCAGGCTCCAGCTTGTCGTCAGGCTCCAGCTGAACATCATCCCCGACACCATTCGCTACAGACTCGCTGTCGAAAGTCACCGGATGGGATTCAAGTTGAGAGTTTGGAATTTCCAGCTGGCCCGAATTAGACTCGGAGTCATCGGACTGATCATCAGAACTTTGACCCGATTCGAGAGTTTTTGCTTGGCCCGGAGCAGAGTTCTGACTGGTTCTCGTCCTCGCCGGATCATCTGCGATTGTCGTCAAAGCCGTGCTCTCTTCCCAAGTCCTGATTCCAGGACAGAGGTCCCATTGATTCGAGCCCACATCATAGACACGTTGATAGGGCTCATAATCTTTCCACACACTGACAGCAAATGAATGTGTTATCGGTCTGCGTATCAAAAAGCCGTCATAAGCATTCCACATGAAAACCTGTGTGTTCTTCGAACTCGGACCCAGTCCTTGCATCTTCGTGACACGCTCTTGTCGTTTTTTAAGCTGTGCCTTCTCCTCCGCGGAATTGATCGTGTTGTGTCTGGTGCGCCGCAGGAAAAAATCTTGATAACTCTCGCCGAATCTTTGGCCGCTATTCGGATCAACCTGGGCATTTCCCTGGCGGGCTTCTTTGGCAGTTCCTCAGCTTGAGCGCACGTTGCATAGAAATCAGCATTGCGGAATACTCCAAATCGGCGCCTAGCGTTGTCGATGAATGTCCATTCCATGATTGCATCTTGGCCACTAAGATTGCGAACTTTCTGTATGTGCTCTGATTGGACAGAAAGGTGGTAACATCGCATGGAGGGAAAGAGCATTGAACAACGCGGGATCGGTGCTGTTCAAGAAGAAATACAAGGGTACACGAATGTCATTCTTCAATATCATGGAGAATAGCCAATCCAGAGACCGAGCTTTCTCGATTGCTGCTGGGCTTGAAAAGTCTAAGATACCTCCAATGGGTCCCGGCAATCTGGAAAACGACTTCTTCTAGTTCGTCCCACAGTGCCGCATCCACTTGACTCTCCTTGATATAGCGTTCGCGCCATCCTGGCATTTTAATGTCATCGAGAACTAGAGTCAATAATGTGATAGCCCCAAGCAGCGGGCGAAAAGCATGGAGAGATTGCAAGACAGCTTTGTGTAGATCTTGTGGGGATTCAAGGTCAAAGTGTTGTGTATACCCGAATGTTGATGGTAGAGAGTGCCACGGACGAACGTTAGATTTGAGTTCCGTCGGAGCCTTTGGCGCTTTCATAACATTTTGATCTAACCAAGTCAAGGTCGTTCGCAAAAAACCCTCGAGTCGGAGCCATTGATCACGCAAGTCACCTTTCATACCCCTAACTCGAACGCGTGCTGCGCACCACGAAAATGCGGGACAACAAGCTCCTCTTGCGGGGTTGCACCGATCTGAAAGTCCAGCGGCTTCAATAGAGTATTGTGCAAGATGTGGAAACGAGGCATAAATAACAAGTGAGGTAGGTCCATATTAAGCCAGGCCGTTTGGCCATCTCGCCGTTAAGCGTTTTGTTCGAGGAAGTGGGAGGGGCTTGCCGCTGACTGGGGATGGAGTAAATGACAGCCCGATCGCCGTTGAACACGAAAAAATTGCGGGCTTATTTCGCACAAGACCAGTATAATGTTTGGGGAGGTCTTGATAACAGAGGTTAACGTCGAGTACCGGTTTGGTGGGAGCTAAGTTACCTTTGGTCGCTCCTCCTCATCAAGCGCTGAGAGGTAGCAGCCGCACAAATGAATTTCCGGACGTCGACATTTCGCATGACGCCATGAATGGTTGTTACCCGGCGTCTTAGCGTCTGAGCTAGTCTTGAGATCTGAGAAACGGCCCGACCCGACGTCTTAGCGTCTAAGCCAGCAACAAGAGAGGAAGGAAGAGAGTATCCAGCAACAAGGAAGAGAGTGTTCAATGTCGTCGTCGTCCGCTCGCACAACTTGAGCACGGTGAGAATGTGCTTGCAGCCAACTGTCAGACATGAGAAACGAACAGTGTTCAGCGTGTACCTTCGCAACACGATCCAGACTGAGAAAATGGCAGAATCGTGACCTTGGTGCGATGAAGTCTGATGAGGTGTGACGATAGGTGACGATGTGACGACTCGGAAGCGGTCCCTTCCGATTGTTAGTTCGTTCCTTGACACTGCGAGCTGTTGGCGAGCTGTATCCACCAGCCGTGACGGTTTACACACTTTAAAGCCCTTTCGCGAAACTTTCGGACGTTGCGAGCTGTATCCACCAGCCGTGACGGTTTACACAGTACTTTAAAGCCCTTTCGCGAAACTCTCGGACGTTGCGAGCTGTATCCACCAGCCGTGACGGTTTACACTGTACTTCAGACGCCGCGAGGTGCCCCCTTCCGACCAACTTCTTTGAAACGATGCGAATCTACCAGCCGCAGTCGCATGTCCTGCACAAGATCCACGAAACACCAAGAAACCTTCAACTTGGAGAGCGGCAAGTTCTTGGCTTATGGGAGCAATGCGATCCTCATTTTTGGACAGTTATGAAAATGTGGATTGGACTGCGGGATGGGCCTTGTCCGATGAGACGGGCAGTCTCTATGACTGCCATTATCTTCACATAGCGCCGACGGGAGGTCAAGGAATCAACCCGACCTGAACTTCCCCCAACTTCGCCAGCCAAGGTTGACGCAGAGTAGCCTGTAATTACTTATGGACCAAAAGAAATAATTGTCGTGAAATAAATGGACAGCGCATCAAGTTGATGCCTCCATCTTTTCGCATGCCTCGACTCCCCAACGTTGTGCGACACACATATTTTGACGACGCCGCTGAGGAGGAATTCAACCACCTACAAGTTCATTATTCTCTGGATGGACAGCGCGTGCTGAGCCAGCAGACAAATCCATCGCCTAAAAAAAAGGCTCGCCTTAATCAAGAGGTCATTGAAACTCAACCTGAACTCGCTGACTGGATGCCATTCCCAGATGCGCAACTGGAGGACGTAAGAGAGCTGGTGGATACTGTGTCGTCGTTGGAGATTCAACTGGAAGAAGAATCGACATTGAAGAGAAAACGTTATGCATCGGTCGGTTGATACTACGACTTTATACAGAAGCTCATTCCCTTAGGACGATCCTATGGCAATGTGGCAACCACTGACGGCTCTCTTTCTGGAGGAAATGCTACGAAGAGACGGTCTCGGAAACCCTAACGCATGCCAAGAATGTGTGAATTGTCAAGCCAATCATATGGAGGAGACGGGGCTCCGTTTTTTTCGCTGCAAGCAATGTGGGGACGGACTCCATTGTGAGACCTGTGTGGAAGCCGCTCATCAGAAATTGCCGCTCCATGAATTGCAGGTATTTATTTCTTCACCGATTTTGTTACTTGTTTACCTAGCTTGTTTAGGAATGGACGGGTCACTTCTGGACGAAGGCCTCCTTGTTTTATGCCGGACCCATCCAGCATGGAGCTCGTGGTTTGGCGGGCTGTTATCAACTTGGTCATGACGGTGCCCCATGCCCATTCCCCAGTAACCGTCGACCGTTGGTGGTCATCGATGTCAATGGCATTTTTACTTTGGACGTGCAGTACTGTGGCTGCGTGAATCCGTTCGGATTCGACCCCGTCAGACAATTGCTTCGAAATGCGTGGTATCCGGCCACGACAACAAACCCTGCGACCTGTGCAACCTTCAACGTTTTGGAGACATTTCGCTTCCTGCGCTCCATCGCAAACATCAATGTCCAAGACTATGTGCGCACGTTGGAGAAGTTGACGGATTCAACCGGACTGGAAAAGGTCCCAGATCGTCGCGTTACTTTCGGTCACAGCTATCTTAAAATGATGAAGCGTGGAGGTCGCGGGCATGAAGCCAATGGAATTGTAACTACGCCGCCAGGGGCGTTGGCTGTGCGTTGCTGGGCATGCCCAGATGCTTCTCGTAACTTGCCTTCCGGATGGGACAAGGTTCCGGAGTCGAAGGCGTGAGTAGCTATTTAATCAAACTATTCTTGACCAACAAATGTGCAGATACTTGTATAAGCTCATGTTGGCATTCGATGCCAATTTCCGCCTGAAGAACAAGCTTCGTGCTGGAGAACGCATGGATCCGGCGTTGACCGATGGCTTGGGATACTTCACGATCTGGACCATATAAAGAACATATCAAAACGCTCGTTGACGAAAAAGATGTCAGTGCGCTCTAGTCGAATCTATTCCATGTTAATGCGATACTTCAGGTCCAGGCTTGTGCTGCGTTTGCTGCTCTTTTGCAGAAGGAGACCAAATTGACCACTGGCCTGAGAGTTTCTGGCGTAGTTGGTTGTGTCTGTGCACGGCACGGCCTCGTGCGTCGTCGAGGGATGGGAGACCTTCAACGTGGAGAACGGCAAGTTGCTTGATGCCAGGAACAACTTGGATACTAACTCTTTGTGCCAGCTATGGAAACGTGGATTGGACCGTGCTATCAACTCTGTCAGACGAGGAAGTTCTGTGGGTCTTGCTTGCATACGACATCGTATGTCACTGGCAAGTATACTTTCCTGAGCGCGTCGCACGAATGAAGACAACGGGCGTGGATATCGAAGAGATATTCACCGAATGGACCGTATTCGCCTGCAATACGGACTGCCGGTCTGGCATGCTGAAGCTCATGACCCCAAATGTCGAATTCAGTTTGCGCTTAGGTACTTGTTGGGTGTTGGAAAGACGGATGGGGAAAGCACCGAGCGTTTGTGGAGCCTACTCAATCCCGCAAGTTGGTCGACAAAGGAAATGGGAGAAGGCGCCCGTCATGATGTCCTGGAGGACAAGATCGACCTGATTAATTTTGAGAAAAAACAGGAGCATGGGTCAGTTAAGGTTTCTTTGAGAGTTTAAGCTCACTATTTGCAAGGGCGGACACTTGCAAGACGTTTGATTGTCGCTGTAGCAGAGCGTCAAAGGCAGGGCATTGAATTCCAGGAGCTGGACGACAGCGTTCCTAAAAAAAAGGGCCGTGAATGGGCCAAGATGATGGATGCCTGGTATAAGGATAACACCCAGACGAATCCATTTGAAGTCCAGGGTGGGAAGCTCGGTATGCATGACGTTGAATACCTGTTGTAGCATTGATGACCTGTCTCGACAGCCGGGCCTAGTGAACGCGAAATAAGTGAAGAGTTGAAACGAGCTGAGGTGGAAGATGCACAAGCCGGAATCAAACCTTTGCTGGAAGGTAAAATGACCATAACAGCGTTCATCAGAGCGGGTATGCAGCTTCAGGCCATCCAGTATGTCAAAGTCTTCATTCCACACACTCTATTCACTATCCCCAGGCGTCGTATACGGACTGCTCTGAAGGCAAAAAAGTCAGCAGATCAAGCGAGCCAGATACAAGAATTACGTCTATCTCTGATCAAACAAATGCGCACCTTCGAAAAACTTCAACTAACTTACATGCCTGGGGTTCAGGGTCTTCGCGACGCAGCGGTATAAATTGGACGCGGAGGACGCGCAACCGGAAAACGCAAAAGCTTTATCTTCCGTCACAGTTAACCGCGGAAGAGTGTCGACAAGTCAGCATGGCGGACTTGATTGAGACCGAGCGAAATTGCGTCGGGGACAGTGTGCAGATGCACTGGCTGCCTTACGAGGGAGGCTTCATTCGAAGCAACACATGATTTGGTTTCGGGGGAAAACATGGTGGGGCAACGTGCAAGAACGCTCCGTCACTCTAATGGCTCGGATGGAAGAAGGTGTAACGAAGGCCGCTGCCAAATATACTGAAGGCTACGAGGCTCTCGTTCACCTCAAAGGCAAACGTTACGCTCCCGAGTTTCAAAAATTGGACAAGGCCCATTTGAACACTCGTATCGAAATCGAGAGTGACGAAGATGCAGCAAGAAGCTTACGAACAGCAGACGGATCGCGACCTACGAGAGAGGAGACTGCTGCAAAAAAAGAAAACCAAGACGGCGCCAATTTCCTGGATTTGGGCAGCAGGCGGGCAGGCCGACGGGGTTGAACTTCATGACTGTGAGTAACTATGGCTTGTTGACCATTTGCTTTCGGTTGAACGTGGTATCATAGCTATGCGTGTCGAGTGGGCAAAAGCACGTGCACGGAAGGAACGCTGGAACGAGGAGGTTGAATTGTTGCGAGAGGAGATGAAGCGGGTCATGCGATCATTGAAGTAGGAGGCTTCAGAATGGCAAAAACGAGCCGACGGTTCGTTCAGACGTTGATGGAACGACGGCGGCTGGAATCCGAGCTTATGCGCTGCGTAACGTGTACCTGCATACTGAATTTATAGTGCGCTTTCGAGAGGAGTGGGACAAAACAATGGGAGCTGCTGTCCGTCATTGGGCAGCAGAGGAGGAGCGGGAAATATTAGAGGGAACATTTATGGCAGAGGGAATGTAGAGAACAATGTTAAAATTGTATGATTCGGACCAAATCAGTCGTAATGATGATATCAAAGCTGCAGGATAAAGCGGAGTTCGGAGATCAGCGGCAAGGAAGCACGGAAACGGGTGGGGTTCGAGTGTTGTCAGAGACCTGGCAACACACAGGGATGATGGAATCGGATTTTCTGGCAGTTCCCGGGGATGATTGAAACAGGCTACAGCCACGGGTGGACGGAACCGGAGTCGGACCGGAATCGGAGGCGTCTCCGAGGGGCCGAAAGGGAGGTTCCCCTGACATCACCCCCCCCTTTGAATGCGGCGTCCCGACGCATAGACCGGAACGGAATCAAGTCGAAGGTCGCGGAGGCAATGTGTCGTGGCTTGCCAGGGTACTTACGATAGAACTCCGCAATTTTCTCCGGGGCGAAGACGCGGTCGAAGCGGACCCATTGGTCGTGCGATGCGTCGTAGCCTTTCCATCTGACGAAGTAGTTCAGCCGCTTATACCTCACCCTTGCGTCCAGGATTTCCTCTACTTCCCACTCCGGGACTCCGTCCTCGAGGTCCGGAGGGGCTGGTCGTAGCCGGGGCGTCCGTCGAAGGGGTCGTCCTGAGCGAGCTCGAGCTTGACGACGGGGAAGACCGGGTGGAGCTTCGAGTAGCGCGGAGGGAGGTCGAGCTTGTAGGCACCTTTGCTGATCTCTGCGACTATCTTGAACGGTCCAAGGCGGCGATGGGAGAACTTTTCCGAGGGGCGAGTCGTCCTGATGTCAGAGGCATCCAGCCAAACACGGTCGCCAACCTTAAACTCTGGAGACGGAGTCCGTCTCCGGTCGTAGTAGCGCTTGTACTCCTCCTTGGCCTTAGTGAGCGCGGCCTTGGCTTCAGCAACACCAGTAGCGATCCGGTCGCGGAACTCGTTCACTGACTCCTTGGCGGAACGGACTCCGGGTTCGAAGCCCATGCGCGGGAGCCGTCCCGTGTCCGTCATGAAGGGGACCTGCTGCGTGGAGGAGTGAACGTGGTTGTTGTAGGCGAACTCCGCGGCCGGAATCAGCTCATCCCAGTCGTCCTGCTGGTAGTTGGTGAAGATCCGCAAGTACTGCTCCAGCTCCTGGTTGACGCGCTCTGTCTGACCGTCTGTCTGCGGGTGGTACGCGGTGGACGTGGCGGGCTTGATGCCGATTAGACGCCAAAGTTCTCGGGTGAAGTCCGTGATGAACTGCGAGCCGCGGTCGGAGACGTACTTCTCTGGAGTCCCATGGTGCCGCCAGACATTCCGGTAGTAGAGGCGGGCTGCCCCTACTGCATCAACCGTCGTATGACACTCTGAGAAGTGGGCGCGCTTTCCGAGGGTGTCAACGACGACCATGATCGCGTCGTACCCATGGGCTTCGGGAGGCTCTACGATGAAGTCGACGGAGACGGTATGCCAGCGTTCCGGAGGCGTTTCCGTGGGGTGCAGTTCTCCGTGGGGCAGTCTCCGGAGTGCCTTGGTGCGACAGCACAAGTCACAGGTCGCAACATACCGGCCGATATGGCGAGACATCTGAGGCCACCAGTAGTTCCGGGAGACCAACTCCAGGGTCTTGAAACGACCTGCGTGTCCGGCGACTCGGGTGTCATGGCAGAGCTCAATGATGCGTCTCCGGAGGTCCTTGTCTTTTGGTACGACGATCTTTCCTCGGAAATGGAGAAGACCGCCGGAGACGGCCCACTCGTCAGAACGTGAGGAGCGGGGGCCTCGAGCTTGACCTTGAACCTTAAGAAGTTGCCGGGCCGCTAGTGCGACGGGCTCCTCCAGGTCAGGCTCACCGGAGAGGGCATCACGGATGTCACGGAGGAGTTCAGAGCCGGGACCGGAAACGGAAACGCCCTCGAGTGCGGGACGTGGAAGAGTTCAGGCCGCAGAAGGACGACGTCGGAGTTGTCGGAATCGACTCCGTGGTCGGGTCTCCGGGAGAGGGCGTCAGGCCGACCCATATCGCGGCCAGGCTTGTGGTGCAGCGTGAAGTCGAACCGGGAGAGGTACAGAGACCACCGGGCCTGTCTCCGGTTGAGGTGTTGCGTCTTCCTGAAGTACTCCAAATTCTTATGGTCAGTCCAAATCTCGACAGGGTGCGCGGCGCCCTCGAGGAAATGTCTATACTCCTCGAGTGCGCGGATGATCGCGAGCATCTCCTTGTCGTGGATTTCGTAGTTGCGCTGGACATCATTTAAGCTTTTGGAATAGAATGCCACTTCCCGTCCGGGGCGGATTGTGAAAGAACCGCCCCCGTCGCATAATCAGAGCTGTCCGCCTCGAGTCGGAAAGGCCGTGCGTCGTCCGGAATCGCCAGGACCGGTTCCGAGGTGACCGCGTCCTTGATCGCTTGGAACGCGGAGGCCTCCGCGTCGCCCCAAGTCCACTGCTGGTCCTTCTTGGTGAGCAGGAAGAGAGGGCGCGCGAGGGTCGAGAAGTCCCGAATGAACCTGCGGTAGAAATTAGCGAACCCAAGGAATTGCTGAATGTCCTTCTTGTTTTCCGGAGTCGGCCAAGCGGAGACGCCTGCGACCTTGACGGGGTCCATTTCGACGTGGTTGTGGGAGATGATGACTCCGAGGTACTCGATTGACGATTTTTCAAAGTCGCACTTCTCCGCTCGAAGGTACAACTTGTGCTCCCGGAGTCGCCGTAAGACCTCCTGGACAATCTGCCGGTGTTTCCGGAGGTCGGAATGGGCGATCAAGATGTCGTCAAGGTAGATCATGGCGTCTCCGGAGAGGATGAGGTCCTGAAAAATGTCATTCATCATCGTTTGGAACGTCGCGGGAGAGTTTGTCAGGCCGAAATACATCACCAAGGGCTCGAACAGGCCTCGGTTAGTCCGGAAAGCCGCTTTCCACTCGTCACCTTCCTTGATCCGGACGTTGTTGAAGCCCCAACGGACGTCGAGTTTGGTGAAGTAACGAGCGCCTTTGAGCCGGTTGATGAGGTCGTTGATCAGCGGAAGGGGGTACCGGTTTTTGACAGTCATCGCGTTGAGAGCACGGTAGTCCTGGACGAAGCGGAGTCCGCCGTCCTTCTTCTTGACGAAGAAGACCGGAGACGCCATCGGAGACTTGGAGGGGCGAATCCGGCCCGTCGAAAGCCCTTCCTCGATGAACGCGTCGAGCTCGCGTTGCTCGAGGGGCGAGATGGGGTACACCTTGCAGTTGGTGGGCTTAGCGTCGGGGACGAGTTCAATGGCGTGGTCCCAGGCTCTCCGCTCCGGTAGCGTGTCGAAGGACTCCTTGTTGAAGACGTCCTGGAACTCCTTAGCCCAGTCCGGGATCTCGGAGGGCGGAGGGGCGGAGTTCCTGGCGAAGGCTTCGGCCAGGCGTTGCGAGACAGTACTGCCAGCGTATCTCCTCCGAGGGGCGGAACGAGGTGTAGAAGATGCGGTCACCATCTTCAAGCTGACCATCGTCATCGTCGTCGTCGGAGTCCGGCGTCAGATCAGGCAGGCCGGAGTCGTCACCGAGACGGAATCGTCTCCGTCATCAGACCCAGAAAGGTCCATGGCGCAGACCGAGGGGAACGGGCCGGAGCGGAGACGCTTCTGAAGCGACCGGAGTCGCCGCCACTCGGTCCGTTCGACCCGCCGCTTCCTCACGGCAGGTCGAGCAATTGCGGGGGCACCGTGTCATCTTGACCTCCTTGGTTTCCCAATTGATCTCTGGGTTATGTTTCCGCAACCAGGAATACCCCAGGATGAGGTCTTGCTTGCCAAGATGGGTGACGGCCAGCTGAACTCGTTCGGCATGGCCCTTGTAGCGCAGGACCAAGTCCGTGATCTGTTTGATGGAGCCAGCGTCATTGGGGGTGCCATCGACATTGAAAACCGGAATCGGCTGATCGAGGGTGCGGACCGGAATGCCATTCCGAGCAACATAGTTCGTGTCAATGAAGTCGGAGGTGGCACCACAGTCGACAAGCCCAGAGAGTGAGAGCTTCAGCGCTGGTGGTGGACTCGAGCTCTAACGGGAGGTGGAGGGAGTTCGCCCCAGGGGCAGCGGCAACGGTGTACTGCTTGGGCAGTTTCTTTTCCCAGGCAGTGAGGCGGCGGAGGACGATGACCGGAGTCGCGGGCGGAGTCGGAGACGGAGTCGGAGACGGAGTCGAGGCGGGGGGCAGGAGAGGGTGTGTCTTTCGTTTCGGGCTCATTGTAGGGCAAGGAACTGCATTCATCATACAAAGAGGCAAAACGATTTATAGACGCGAACGAGGGCACACCAGTCACTCGTCGGGGGGACAAAATCCTCTCCGGCCATCGACTCCGCTGCCGTCTCCGGCAGGGCAGCTGTGTCCGTGTAGCGGGCGATCAACTCCGCTAACATCTCGTCACCGAGTTGTTGGATCACCTCGTCGAGGATGTCCATTGAGCGGACATCGGCGGGGAGGGGCAATCCCGGCGAGATGGTTTGGGTCGCCGCACCTGAAGCAGGCGCGACGAGGGGCACCCCGAGCCCTGGTGCGATCCAACTCCATAGGGACGGGAGCTGGAGGCGCCGGAGCGGGGGCGCGGGCCGCGGGTGGCACGACCGGAGCCACCGGGCGGAAAGGGGCCGGAGCCGGGATGCGGTTGACCGGAAACGG